TGTCCCTGCCCTCCCTTCACCCCCTCCTCCCCTCCCCATTTACAAACACTCCATTTCCATTTTTTCATTTTCTCATATTTTTCCCCTTATTTCCTTTCCCCTACCCTTCCCACCTTCCCTACACCTTTAGCCCTTTTCTTCCCATTTCACAATGTCAGTTATCTCATTCGGATCTTTTGTACTATTATAGTTTTTCACACCAGAGAAACTATTCAGTATTTACACGTGTGACTTATTTATTTCACTTAGGAGTATATCCTCAATATGTATCCATTTTCCTATGAATGAATCTAATTTCTCATTCTTTATGGCTGAGTAGTATTCCGTTTTATAGAAAAACCACATCTTCTTTATCCAGTCTCCACCTGATGGGCAAATGGGCTGTTTCCAAGTTTTAGCTATTACAAACTGTGCTGCTATAAACATAGGTGCGCATATATCACTGTGGTGTGATTCTTTCACTTCTTTTGGAAAGATACCCAGCAGAGGGATGGCTGGGTCAAATGGAACCTCTAGTCCCAGCTCTCTGAGGTGTCTCCATATTGATTTCCATAGTGGTTGCACCAGTCTGCACTCCCACCAACCACATTTTCATGGTGTGGTTTGACTTGCTCCCCTATGTGCTCATCCTTTTTTGCATTGCTATAGCAGAATACTATAGACTGAATAATTTATAAAGAAAAGAAATGTATTTTTTACAGTCCTGCAGGCTGAGATGTCCAAGATGGAGACACCCACTCTGCTGAGGGTCTTCGTGTTGCCGCATAACAGGGCAGAAGGCATCACCTGGTGGAAAAACCAGAGCACACCTGGACACAGAGAGAAAGCTAACAAGCCCACTCAGGAGAGCTAACCCGCTCCTGCAGTAACACCATTCATCCATTCATGAGGGCAAAGACCTCATCACCTAATCTCCTCTTAAAGTTCCTGCCTCCCAACTCTGCATTAGTGGTGAAGTTTCCAAAACACAGATTTTTTGAGGGGTTTGGGTGGGGGGGTATGGGATTGAACTTTATCCTCTGTACTTTCTGTATGTTAGAATTCTGAAGGTTACATCTAGCCCTTCTTCAGATTGGAATTTGATCTCCATTCCTCAGTGTTTGGACAAACTTCTTTATAGGTGCCTGAGTATTTTTTAAATTATGTTAAAAATCACATATATTAAATTAATATTTTTAATTATGTAATATAAATTATATAAACCATAAAATAAGCTTTTCTTTATAATAGTGAATTAAATAGTATTTATTGTACAAATGATAACAGGAATTAATTCTATTTAAGGTAGAATTGAATGTATTAGAGATGTGTCTAATGCCAGCACATCAGAAAAAACCTTTCACTTGCTTCAATGAGCTTTGTAAATCCACATATCAAAGACTATTAACCCAAGCCCTGAATAGGCCAAGCAATTTTCAGTTTTTTAATGGTGTCATAACAGTAGGAATAGATGGGAGGTTAGAGGTAAGCAGATAGTCACGTTATTTTGTAGTTACTGTCCTCTAGTGGGATGATTGCAAAAGGTTGCCTTCTTCAAGAGTCTCTGTATTCCTTTTAGATTGAATGCCTTTTGGGAAATCAAATGAAATATATTTTTTCATTGAACCAAATCTTCTAAAACCAAAACAAACTTAAACACCATATTAACACATCACTTGACAATTTTAAATTTGTTCTAAAACTGAATAACATCTGTGGAATTAGGAGAGCTTTGACACCTCCTAGTGATACTATATGTTTTTGCCTAGATTTAAACTTTTAACCTTTGGATCAAACGAGTCTATGAATTTTAAAGGAAGGAAAGAACGCTAGCTGCTTGGATATGCTAACAGCTAATAGAGCTATTATTTCATCTTGGAAGCGTTAGGAGTAGTTGCCTAGCATGCCCAAGGCCCAGTTCTATCCTCAGCACCACAAAAAAAAAAAAAAAAAAAAAGTGTTAGGCCTAAAAACAGCTGGTGTTAGACATTTTATTATAATCTAATTCCAAATGGGGGGAAAAATCATATAAATAACTTTTCAAGAACAAATGTTAAAATATTTTTAAATGCTGTATTTCTCCCTAAGGACTGTAACTGAATATGATCAGTTATAAGCAATCTGAAAACACTGGGAAATACTAGCTTCAGCAGTTGACAAAATCACGAGTACCAAAATTCAATCTCCCTACTTCTTTCGGATGGAGTACAGGCCTCACAAAGAATAATCCATATATCTCTATGATAATGTGATTCTCACAGTGGCTGTCTTACAATTTAGTGAACTACTTCAGATTATGTGCTTATTACTTCTAAAAAGAATGTAGGCCTTGCATTAATTTTGAAGAGAATAACATTGCTAAATTTGGTTTTGAGAGTGTATCTGGTATTTTAGGACATCAGCACATTCTGTGATTCATCTTATGCTTTGAAGCCTTAAGTACATTAAATTCTGTAGGTCTTCTTAACTGAAGTCATGTTCTTTGTAGAAATATTTCTTTTTAAAAAGGATATTTTCAGAGAAAATGTCCTTAATATTTAAATTAAAAACACTAAAATCTTTATGTAAGTAGGAACTATAAATCAATGTCTTTATCCCTGACAACTAGATAAAATCATTGACCTTGAATCTGCTTGAATCAGTATACTTGTTTTTAGGTCTTAAATATTAAAACTATACATTTTCAATAAAACATGTAGTTCCGTTTCCTCAGAATCTTGGCAAGGTATTTCAAGTCTTATTAAGTTGTTTTGTGATGCTGTCCTATTAGGTATATTCTTTTGCCAGGTAACAAAATCTGAATTTTTTAAAGTTACTGTGTTTCAAGGACTGAACATTTTAAGATACATATTTAGTTTAGAAAATATCACCTGTGCAATGAGAAAGAATGAAATTCTAGAAACCAGTTCTTGTTTGGGTTACTCACCAACCCCTTAAAGACTGATTTCTAAACATTCTTCTCATCCCGATTTTTCCCCCATAATGTCATCATCAGTTCCTCCACCTATCTTGATAATCTGCCCTGCTAATGCCTAAGTTATTGGGTTTTAATTGATGTCAACTTAGGCCTTCCTCAGCAGAAAATTCTCTTTCATCAACTTGGAGGAGTAACCCCGGAAATTAGCGTCTCAAAAGTTCAGTTAGACTGTGTCAGATCCAAAATAAACCCTTTGGTGGACAGGTTCCCTTGAATTGTAACTATAAACACATAGCGTCTTAGTCTGTTCTGTTTTGCTATAGTAGAATACCTGACACTGGGTAGTATATAAAGAAAAGAGGCTTATCTGGCTCCCTATTCAGATGGCTGGAGAGTTCAAACAATGTGTTTCCAGTACCTGACCAGGGCCCCCTGCCTGCATCACAGCGTGGCCAAGAAGCAGAAAAGGGACTGTCCGCAAGTACAAGGGGCATGGATGTACGCGAATGAGAAAATGAGAGAATGGAAGGGCCACATTTGCTCTTCTAAAACAACCTGCTTTTCTAGGAAGCAGTCCCCATGAGACCCAGCCTCCTCCCTGAGACCACTGATAATCGCTTCCAAGAGTGGCCATGACCCATCACCTCTCACTGGCCATGCAAACCTCTTAAAGCTTCTACCACCTTTCGGGATGACCACATTGTACACCAGGCTTCCTGTACAGGAGCCCTGGGGAATGCACTCAGTCCATGTTCACACCAAGGTCTGTGGGATACCCTAGATCCCTGGTACTTAGGAGATAACGTTCATCAGTCTGTGGCTACTGCTGAAAGGAGAATTTCAAGACAAACCACGTCCATCCTGAGTTTAAGAAAGCTGGGTTGGTTCTGGAAGATTTAGGCTCCCTTTGGTATTGAGCACCATTTGCCACACACATTAGGCTCCCTGTGAGTCAAGTGCTCCTTGCATTTCCTGTCTTCCCCGCCTTTACCACACATCTTCCTGTTTTTAAAGCCAATTTGCTTGATGCCTTTATCTTGTGTCTATCCATTTTTCAGTCTCATCATTTCTTCCTTAGCAATCTGCTTCTCCCTCCAGCCTCACATTCTATGCTCAGTCTTTTATGCCTCTTCCGAAGTAAATTTTTCTGCCAGCTAATTCAGTTCTGCCACCATTTTCATCAGAACCCTGTAATGGCTGACCATGACCATATGTGCTACTCAAAATTTCATGACCATCTATCAAGCTGCCTTCCGCTACGCCATCCATCCACCCAACACTATCAATCAACTTAATACAACAGAAGTTGCCCGGCCAAATTACAGTTTAGCTCAGCCATTTTTTCTCTCCCGAATCTGCATCTGCAACTTGGTCTTTTTGTTCAAATCCCTTTTCCCCAGTCCTGCAGGATTCTTCCCCAAGATTTTAGTAATGTTGGCTTCATATTTCGTAGCTTCCAAATTTACAGTACTTACAGCGTATCAGTGCATTGCAACATTAAAACTCCTTGGTTTTGGGGGGGATTAATTCAGGATATTGTCTTATAAATAATATTTTAATTTCTATGTCAGTATATTCTGTTGCATTATATTCAAGATACATGCTGTGTGCCTCCTGGTAGACCACTGGCAGATGGTTAATGCATGTCTGTCTTGGGCTAGGTACCTAATTTGTCCTTTGCGTTATACTTTTTTCCCACCCATTTTGAAATCGTGTATGAAGTTCGGTAATAAAAGTACTGAGTATTTTGTGTCCTATTTTTCTAGCAGTATATATAAATATGTGTACTTTATAAGAGGTAGAATAACAGAAACTATGATCCTGATCACTGACTGTGTAACCTTATACAAATTAAACTAAACTAAACTTCAGTTCCCTGATGTGTAAAATGGGCATAATAACATCTGCCTTCACGGATTGCAAATAAGGATGGGAGGGCACATATTTGGAGTACCTGGTGTAGGTCCCTACCAAATACAGATGCTTCAGACGGAAATGGTCAGTTTTTACTGTTAGTCTAAAGCACTGGTGGCTAACCTATGGCACATGTGCTGCAGCAGGCTGTTTATATCATTGCAGCCTCTAATAAAAGGTTCGCCATCATTGATCTAGAGAATAAGCCTTGATCTATTAAGGGGTAAGAAAGTGGTTCTTATTCTGACACTGGCTTGCATTATATCTGTCTGTTTCTAGGTTGAATACGTTTCAGGAAAGGTTCTTTTCACTACCTATTCTGATTTGAATATGCTGAAGAAATTAAAATCTGCTGAAAGGTTATTTTTGCTGATTAAAAAGCTGCTTCCATTTACTGCTGCTTCTTTAAGTAAAGGTATGGTATATTCCTATTGTTTTATACCCATGTGATATATTCTGTTTTCTGGATAATAATATTACGTTTTACATTTTTGTGATTCATTCATACATGTGTCATCATTAGTCATATATCTTTCTGTATTTTGTATTACCATGCAGTTGTATTAGAATATTTCTCTTCTTTGTGATCTGCTGCCTGCCTTCCGAGATTTTAATGTCCCAGGCCATCTTTGTGAATTATGATCTGGCAGTGTCTGTAGAGATAAATGCTGTCAGTTGCATTTATTTGTATTTAGAAGTACCTAATAACCTAAAATGCATTATTTTAACAATAAATTGGTAAAAACTATCACCTCATAAAGTTTTAACTGAGTGATATAATTGGAAAATACTGTATAGTAAAATTTCCTAATTCTAGGACCTTAAAATGTTTTCAGTAAACTTATATTCATTTGTGAAAAGGGACTTAAGATTCTTACCCATACCCTAACTCTGTAAATAGGCTGTGAAAATAATTTAAGGATCTTGATGAAAGTGCAGAAAAAGGGTTGGGCACTGCAGGGTTAACCAGCGCCTTAAACTTCAGTCCAATTGCCGATGCCAGTGAGACCGTCTTAAACTTCAGTCCAATTGCCGATGCCAGTGAGACCGTGTCATTACATAGCCTATAATAAACCATTTCAAGAAAGATACAAATGACAGGAAATCAAGACCAGCAGGAAAAGTTAAACTAAATCCCAAGGTATGATACAGTGGGGTCAATTATAATTTCATCCCAATATTTCATATACCTCATCTTTAGGGAACTACAGTAATTACTTTTGGATCATTTTGATGACCCTTGATCATCAAGAAAAGTTGAAATTTTACTGAGCATGCTGGTAGTCCCTAAGTCATGAATGGATTATTTATTGGAAGTTTTACTCTGTGGCATCTCATTTTAAGATTTATGCTAATATTATATGGTCTAAAATGAAATAGACCCAAGATTCAGCAGCTGTGTTTCTGAGCTATATTTTATAATTTATTCTTTTTTAACCTTAATATTTATAGACAGGTCATCATTATTTTAAAAATCAATATACACTCTAGGACTGTGCATATGTTAATTAGAGACATAAGATAAGTGGTTTAAGTATTAGTGAGTAATTCTATAGGGATTTTAAGGCTGTTTTAATGCTGCATATAAAGGAATGAACTTTATTCTACACAGTATTCATATGATAAATTTAATTCCCAAATGAATGTAAAGTTTTATTTATGTAGAAGTTTCAACAGAATTTATGTTTTAAAAAAAATAATGGCACTTTGAGGCAGAGAATATAATAGATCATCTTTAAGGCTCAAGATAGGATAAACTGAGATTTTATTTATTTAGGAAAAATACTTAATGAAGTACAACAGCTTGTACACAATGATCCTAGAAGTTGGTTGGATGCCGTTTCAATTTGGAGGAATCTTCTTAAACTTGATGTAAATAGAGAAGAATTTTCTCAGAGGGATGCTAACCCACTAAAAAGAAAAATGAGAGAAAACGAAGGCGTCATTGCTAAGAAATTAAAAACAGAAGAAATGCAAAAGATTGAAGAGAATCATAAGGAGTACCAGCTGGAAGAACAAACAGAAGACACCCTGGAGCAGAGAGAGTCTACCATGAGAAGAGATAAACTTGAAAAAGAAGAAATTCAGAAGGAGGTAGAGAAAGCAGCTGGTGCTCATAGCCAGGAGGACTTAACCTTCAGAGTTTCTTGTCGCTGCAGTGGAGCCATTGGAAAGGTCTTTACTGCACAGGTATGCCTGCCTCCTGAAGTGGCCTCCTGTTTAAAATGACAGATGCAAACCTCTCACAGAACCAACAACCAGGCCCAGATGAATAATTAGGCCTAATCTCTTCTGATTAAATTTCTTTTAAAACCGTATTTTTGTTAACTTAGCCTCAGGTGCTTAAGAGGAAGGTACGCCATTCCATGTAACAACCACCTTTTACCCTCTGTCTCCAAGTTTCCTTAAATTCATAGATGTCCTTTGCATTTAGAAATCCTGATTTCCTGATCCTAAACTTTATGGGAATTCTCTCTGCTTGCTGAGTGGTTACTGTGCACCAGGTAGTGTATGTAAAGTTGAAACTGGGACCAAGACCATAAATACACAGGTGGTCACAACACGAGGGATGAGCAGATGTCATAGTTGCTATCAGAGAAAATTTTTGGTTGGCTGTTTGAGCAGTCAATATTATGTAGGGTTGGTCTGCATCATGCCAGCAACCTTTTAAGGTTAGTAAGGTATACATACCCTAAAGGTAGAGTCTAACTACTGATCTGGAGATTTTTAAACAAAAAGGATGGTAATGGCTATATAATGATTCATATTTCGCTTGTATTCATTTCCTAATTTAGAATGACTACATTTATCAGATCGTGGTCTGACCAAATACCTAGATTCACACACCTAGAATTGCAGTAGAGAGTATACGTTAGTAGACATCATTACCAAGGGGTAAAACGGGGTGAAGGAGGTCAAATACAATCTTACTGCTTTGAACATAAAATAGTTTAGAGTCATATTTTAACATTGTGATTCTAAGTTACCATCAGATAATTCGACTCAATTTTTCTGCAAAGCTGTTAGTTTGCTTAGGTTTAAACTTTTCATTTTAGTATATTCTTCTCTATAATCTGTACTTTCTAGGAAGTAGGAAGAATAATTGGAATTGCTCTTATGAAGCAGTTTGGATGGAAAGCAGATTTGAGGAATCCAAATTTAGAGGTAATGAATAACTCTTTTAACTTGTATAGGTGTAGCCTAATTCTTGGAAGACAGTGTCCTCTAATTTTATTGTACATTTCAACTTTACCATAGAGTTTCAAAAGGCGTATCACATGGATCAGGCTATTCTCCCTTTAAAAGTAGAACTGCAGATAATTTTGCTAGTAGTTTTCACTGTGAAAATGTTTTATCTAATCTAAATGTACACACGCGCGCACACACAACTTAGAATGGAGTCATGTGGTCAAAGTTGAAGGAAAAATAAATATTTAATGTGAGTTAGTGTTCACAGATGCTCCCTACAATCTCCATGCCACTTAACAAGCTTCTTTAATAAAATTCCCTATCTATTATTTAAAGAAAATGAATGACAAAATGGTCCTGGCACATATAATTCATTTGCCATTGTTAACAGTGCCTTTCTTAAGGTTAGAGGATTATATTTATCTTTTCATGGTAATGAGCACATACACAGGGAAACAAAAAATATCTTTCACTTTATTTTGAAAGCCGTCTCATAAAACTGTTAGCTAGTCATTTTTGTGATTCCACTAATTCATAATTTGTTCTTTGTCATATGGATTTACTTGGAGTATTTACACAGAGTATCTGTTGATGAACCAAATAAGTCAGAATACTGTGTGTTGTTTATTTTTTAATTTTTTAATATTTTTCCTTTTTAAAAAGTAATACCTAGTACATAAGCATCTTTTCATGTAAAATATTTTGACCCCTGAATGGTTTTTTTTAATTGAATTTATTGGTACATTCAAGGTAGACAGTACAGTTACATTCATTACTGGGATCTTGTACCTTTACATGCCAGGTCTTGGTTCTCATTTTTTCCCCTTGTCCCCACCCTCCCTTCACCCCTGAATGTTTTTGATGTTAGAGTTCCTCTCATCACCTTTCCAGATCTTTTATCTTCTCCTGCTCTCCTCCATCCTCCATCTCAGAGTTAAAGCTACAGTTTTTTCATAGATTAGGCTCATAAAACTTAGCAAATTTAATTCCTGCCAGCCATTTAATGCAATTAACAATAGCTGTAATTAGTAGAAACAATCATATAAAACAAAATTGATAATAAAATTACATATACTAAAAGTCACTAAAAATTAATAGAATCGGATCATGACAAATTTTGTTCTGCAAAATTGATAGGAAAAAACTTTATATTGGGAGAAGCTGCTCTTAGCATTAAATATGTAAAAGCAAGATCAGTGTATCATCTTTAGTACAAATTGTAAGTAGAAAATAATTTTAATACTTTGCTAAAATGCATAATATATAACATTGGAAACTTTAGCTGTGATGTCTAATCAAGGAATTAAATGTGTAAATGGTGTCACTTCAGATGATATTTTGATGAAAATGTATCAATTTTAGAATATTGTGATTGAACTGTTTATATTAAAAGCCATTTTGGGGGTCTGGAGGTATATCTCAGTGGTAGAGTGTTTACCTAGCATCTGTGTGGCCCTAGATTTGGTCCCCAGTGCCATAAATAAAACCTTTGGGATAAAGTATTGGGGATCAAATGTTAAGGCTCAAAATGGCAGTCAGAATATTCTCTAAGCTTTAAAGTGCTACAAATGTAAGATGCTACCTTTAAAATTCATATGAGCTCCTAATAATAACTTGAGACATATACATTCTCTGCATGGCGTAAGGGTGGAAAGGAAATAGAGGCAGAAACTTACCCAGAGATAATTGGGAGAGATATGCTTGCTACTATATATTTGACCTTAAAAACATTTTCTGTTACCTTGAAGGTATTTGTAGCCTATGATAGCCCTGTGTGAACTTCTGTATTACCCGGGACTAAAATTGGGGTGGATTCAGGAAGTCTTTTCTAACCAAAAATGTTGAGAAGTCTTATCCAGGTGTGACAATTTAAGAGAATTTTGGGCCAGGGATTTAGCTCAGTGGTTCTGCCTCCTGCATCGCAAGCACAAGGATCCAAGTTCAATCCCCGGTATCAAAATAAAAAAAAATTTTTTTGAGAGAATCTCTATGAAAAAAGATCTCGAGTTCTTTGTAACACGATTTTCCATATAGCTTATATGAAAACTTGACCTCAGAATTTTTCTTTGAAATATACTTAAAATTTAATTTGCCTCTCTTTAAGAAAACAGATATGGAACATTTTTCCAGATATGACACATAGGCCCTAGAATTTCTTATTAAAATATAGGTTGTAGTTTGTAAATGGGGAGGGGAGGAGGGGGTGAAGGGAGGGCAGGGACAAGGGGAAAAAATGAGAACCAAGACCTGTCATGTAAAGGTACAAGATCCCAGTGGTGAATGTAACTGTACTGTATACCTAAAATGTACCAATAAATTCAATAAAATATAGGTTGTATAAGTTCAAACTAGAAGTTTAATTGGTCATTTGGTAATGCAGTTTCTTGTTCCACTCTAACTTTCTTTGTTCTTTCAGATCTATGTACATTTAAATGACATTTACACTGTGGCAGGGATTCCTCTGTTCAGGTAACTATTGTATTTTAAGCTTCAGGTTTATCCCTATGAGTTTATAAACTTAAGAATGTAATTCGTTTTATTTATAGCCTGAAATGTGATGTAACAGAGAGGGATTAAAGGCAAAGCATTTGAGTTCCCTGCTTAACCCGTGTTTTCATGGAGCTTAATGATATGATCTGATCTAACCAGGAGAGCTGTAAAAGACTTGCTCGTATGCATCCACTGATAACGTGATTAACTCTGAAAATTATATCTAGTTATTTCTACATTATGAAATGATTTTCAAAGCCTATGTTTAAGCTAAAAGTTTTAGTCTGAATAGAGTTTAACATAGTTCCTTCAATTCATTGGATATTCTCCAGATTTTATTGCCATTTTTCTTCTATTGTGAGAGGTCGTCACTAGTTTTTGACCTTTTCTTCAGATGTCTCCCTAGTCATGCAGAGTACTACACTAATATGTGCAAATGATTTATCTCTTTTTTAAAATATCTGTTGAACTTATACAGTGCAGCAAGTATTTTTTGTAAGAGCAACTGACATACCCTTTTTCCAGGTGAATTTAGGCAATGGGACGTTTCAAAGATTAGGAAAGTCCTGTGCTACTTACTGCGCTTGCCTTAAGTTCATATTTATACATCCGCAGTCTTAAATTGTAATTTTTTAAAAAATGGTTCCAATTATTATAATGCCTTTTATTTAGTGGTGAGCACTAGAAGTTGACTATCAGTACTGAGAACACTGTAGATCTAAGAACATTGCACAATAGAGTTCCGGCCGTCTGCTGGTCTATGGTGGGCTCCACGAACATCTCTACCACCAAGGATCATGATTCCTGAGGTTGTTATCTGCCCCAGTGCCCTGCTGGCCTCCCTTGGCCCCCACCTACCCCAATACCTGACAGATTGTTCCAGACCAAACCTAACCTGCTCTCTTATACAAGGTTTCTAGGCTGTCATACTGCAATGCCTTTTGGAGTCCCAGGCCTTAACTCTTGTAAATGATTCATAAAACTGATTGATTTAAGTATTTTGGCTTTATAAAATAGCAAACAGAAAGGATAGGCAGGAATAAAAAAATGATTACATTGAAATCATTGTAATTATTGACGGTCACCAAAACAAAAGTAGGAAAAGAGTAGCAAAATAAGCAATATATGAAATACATTTTTCAAAGAATTCATAAAGCAGTTAAATAGTGGGGCAATGCTGGGAATGAAACTTAGGCCTTTGTACATGCTGAGCGGAATCTCTGCCACTGAGCTGCATTCCCCTGCCCCAGTGTATTTTTTTAATACTTTTAACTCCAAAAAGATGAATATCTAATAAAATGATTTGCTGTGTTGGTAAGTTGCCTGAGCTGTACTCAATCTTGGAATCCTCCTGCCTCAGCCTCCAAGAGTGCTGGCGATATAGGTTTGTACCAGCAAAAATAATTTTTTTAATAGAAAACAAATTTGAGGGCTAACATCCACTTGCTATAGGACATCTAGGTCACAAAATATGTTCCTCTTGATAACTGGATAGCAAGAGAAGCTTTATTGCTCATCTGTGGTATTTGTTGGTTTGTTTGTTGGTCTTTTTTATTGAGTTTATTAGTACAGTCTAGGTCTACAATACAGTTACATTCATTACTGGGATCCTGTACCTTCATATGACAGGTCTTGGTTCTCATTTGTTGGTCTTTTTTATTGAGTTTATTAGTACAGTCTAGGTCTACAATACAGTTACATTCATTACTGGGATCCTGTACCTTCATATGACAGGTCTTGGTTCTCATTTGTTGGTCTTTTTGAGACAAAGTCTCACTACGTATTTCAGACTCACCTTGAACTCGTGTAGCCCAGGTGGACTTGAACATGCAGTGATCTTCCTGAAAGAAGAGTTTACATTTCAATTTTCTGAAAAACTTAACTTTCTGAAACATCACACTGGCTGATCAGACCAAGTGCTCATGAAAGAAAGTGTTTTGTAATAAGGTTAATATTCTCTGATTTTGAGAACACTTTAGTATATGTCAATGAATTTGTTGAAGTGATTCTCAGATCGGAATAGATAAGTCATTTTCATTTATGTCCTGTTGTTTAACATCTAACAAAATTTAGTATATAATCAGCATCTTTTCTTTGTAGGGTTCCTTTAGCCAGCAGAACGTACATTAAGACAGCTGGGCTGCGGTCTACCATAGCGTGGGCAATGGCATCTCTTGCAGAGATTAAAGTAAGGAAATTGTTTTTATTCTTGCTAATAGCAAGGTCCTTTTTATAATTAATTTACTCAGCCTCCTAACTCAAGCACATTTTATTGTTTGCTTGCTTTTGTTTTCTGTTGCAGTGATACTTAAAAACTTCCAAAGTGACTTTCTTATGTTATCAGTAAACTTTTAAGAGTATGTTGGCCACAGAAAAGCTGTTAAAAGTTAACTACATTATTTCTAATTTATTTTGCATCACAATAAAAAAGTGGCCTGTTAAAACTCTACCTGTCAGATTGTTTTCCCCTGTAACCAAGATCTTAATCAATTTTCCTAAAGTTTTCAATGAACATAAGTTTATTTTCTAATTTAAAATTCTCTATTATTACCATGTTCCTATTTACTCCAACTCTAAAAAGTCTTTCAAAATCTGTTACAGTATTTTTTTATTGTTTTTCCATTTTTATTAATTATTGCATTGTTCATTTTCTGTGGGGTTTGGTATATATGCACATTATTGCTTCATTGCAAATTGTGGCTTTTTATTGTTACATAAAGTGTTCTTCCTCTTGCTTATTGACTTTAAACTTAAATTTCACCATGTACTATTAATACTTCTACTCTTTGCTCTTTGTTTGCATCTGCCTACAATTTATTTGCTACTATTTTCAAATTTAAGTACTTCCTTACAGATATACAGCTAAACTTTGATCCTTTCTGTCCCAATCTGTGGTCTCTGTTTTTCAGTAAAAGGACTCAGGAAGTGGTATGACAGCTCCACTTGATGAATGTGTTTTACTCTGTTTGTGAAAGTATTTGTTTACCTTTTAAATGTCTGAATATTTGCTAGCATGACCAGGTTACCTGCTTGCTAATCATTCCATTGTTCTTCATGTTGGAGACTGTCCTTCATTGGTCTAGTCCATGAAATTTCTTTTCCCAGCTTCTTAAACATACCCTACTCTGGTTACTGTAAAGCAGGACTTCAACTATTTCCTCTGCCAAGACACACACTTTTTTGTTTTGTTTTGTTTTACTGCCAAGACACTCACTTTCCTCAACTTCCCCATTCCTCCTCTTCTGGTGAAGTCAGACTTTTAGCAAGTCTTCTTACTCCCTACATTGAGACCTTTGAAACATTCTAATCACTTCTCCCAGCTACTAACTTGAACTAAATTATCTATTATGTATCAGAGCTTTCCTTGAAATTCTTAGATGGCAGTTAACATTGCATAGCTCATTCTTAATTATCAAGATGGAATTCTTGTACCATGCACAATGCGCATTACAAGATATATTGCTCCTTAGCATCTGCGTTTTTTGCTTCATCTTTCTTCCCCATTTGAGGCCTCTGCTCTGGTTTATTTCTTGCTTGGTTAAAAGAAGTGTTTTCCTCACATGTGCCGTGAAATTTTATAATTTTGTAAGATACTGCCTAAATTCCTTAATATTTGTGGATTTCTCCCTTTCATCTGGATGTACCCATTTGCTGGGTAGAATGTTCTTGAGTTGCTGCCCTTCTACCTGTAAATACTGCCCTTTGACTGATGGCATTGTAGATAAACAGGCCATGTCAACATGATTTTTCTTTTCCTTTATAGATACTTTGTTCTTTCTGCTTGGAAGCTTGAAGGAGTTTGCTCTTTAATCTCAATGTTCAAAAATATTAGCAGAATCTCCTTATACATGTGCCCTTTCTATCAGCCCACAGCTTTCTGAGTCTGACTGCCCAAGTTCTAATTGCAGCTCTCATATTTACTGGCTGGGAAGGTTTGGGCAAGATAACTAACAACTCTGAGCCTCAGTTTCTCATTTGCAAGATAGAAATAATATCTTATAGCTTCATATCATGAGTAAGGAGTGCTCGCTTTGGCAGCACACATACTAAAATGACTAAGTGGATTAACGTTAATAAAATGATTAGCACATCACCAGGCATGTAGAAAATATGTATTAGTTGCTAAGGAAATAATGAATAACCTATTATAGTTATGGATCGTATAATTAGTCATTGTTTTTTATTATTATTAATCATCATTATTTCTCCAGCTGGGCACTCTTTTTCCATTCTTTATTTAGTCACTATCGCCTCAGCTGTTCCACAAATTTAACTTTAAAGGCCTCTTTTTCCTTTTTCCTCCTGAAATTCCTGTTACAAGCATGTTAAGCTTCCTGACTCCATCCCCCAAGCCTCTTATTCTTTCCCACATGCTTTCATCTATATTTTGGCTCTGCATTTTGAGTTATTCTCAAACATTATCATCCAATTTAACATCCTGCGTCACAGAGATATGTTCTACTTTAATTCACTTACTGATATTTTCAGTTTAAACATCATGTTTTCCAGCTTCAGAAAGGTGTGTTTAACACCTTTGAGTGTCTCTAAAAGCTCTTCCTTCATCCAAGTCTTCTTCTGCCCCCTCCCACAATCACTAGCTGTTTCTGTAGGAAGAGACCCGTCCCCATTAGATGTGCCATTATCTTCCTTCTATTGGCTGGCTACTCTGAAGTGTAGTTGTTGAAGTGTTGTTGAATGGCTGCAATCCTGTGAAGAGTAAAAGGGAAGAGGACCTGTGGCCCCCTGAGGCTTGGCAGTGTTAGGAGATTCCATGAGCCCCGCTGAGATGGGAGGAAATATGTCAGTGGCTGTCTCCCTTCAGGCCTAGAGGTCTCTGAAGACCAAAGATCTCTCAGGTCCTGCTGGCCCTCCCTGTTGGTCTCCAGGGCTGTTCTCTAATCACTCATCCAACCCAGGGCAGATCCTTCTTCTCACCCAGATCCTTCTTCTGAGACCCAGCAGAACCGAAGCTTCTCTTAGCCCCCACTGCCTAGAGGTCTGAGCATCACTGCCTCAGCAGAAGTCAGTAGCCTGGAGTTGGACATAAAGGGAAGAGCTACGTACTGTGTACCCAGAACTTGAGCTTTTTTTTATTTGACTTAAATCTTTAGTCCAAATTGCTTTTAGTATATGAGAAGAGGTATGATTACAATCTATCCTTTTCCCAACTGTCAGTGGCTTCCGTAGTTTTTTAAATATAAATTTATAAACCACCTATACATTTGAGATGTTACCTTCATCTTGATATTAATGTATAATTTTCAGAGAAATAAAAAAATGATCAAAAATATTTAAAGATAATACTTGATAAAAGTTTTCCTTACTGTCAGTTTGCCCTCCTTATTCCAAGAGTCAGAAATGCCTCTCCAAGTGTGATCACCACTTGAAAGGAGAAAGGAGGAGGGTCCAGTAAGGCGTGAAAGAGGCCCAGAGACCTCTTTGAAGTTCAGTACCCAGAGTGGTGCACAGACAGCTGAGCTTTGGGCAGGCCAGTGCTACTGACAACTAAATTTTAAAATGAAGCTATCAGGCCTTTTTAATATTTCCTGTGAGAATTCCTCCTCCCAAATTCCGTACATAAGGAAACTCAAGTTCTGTATACCTTAGTTGCTATTGTGAGCATGCAGAAATACTTCTCTACTTCTGGAAAGTATTCTGGGTCTGTGAATGTCATGACTAGAAGAGATCCTAAGGTCAAAGAAAGACATTTAAATACATCTAAGGTCAGATTACCTCCCTGAACGTAGAGGAGGAGGAATGCTATTTGGCGCCATTTTTAAGATCTTAGCAAAAGTTAGTTTTTATACTGTTACAGATTTTAAACAAAATTGCCGTTTAACTCTGTTTTGTTGCTCATGCCCCGTCACGGATGATCTACGTTATATTTCCCTTAGAATGTAGTGCCAAGGAGAGTCTGTGTCCTGCAGAACATGTTTCTTCTTTCCATTAGGTGCCCTCTGACTCTGACTGACACCTGGCTGCACTGAGGACCTGCTTCCTCGGTAGCCATATCAAAGGGTGGATGTTCTTTCTCCCACATCCAGTACCACTGGGCCTGAAAGTGGGGTAGGTGTCCTGCTTGCTTTTCCTTGCCCATCTGAATGATTGATTTGTCCCTTCTGCCCAGAACCTCGGTGTCTTTGAAGCACATGTCATCAGATTTTGCCAGTCGGCTACACCAACAGTGTACGCCCTTATTCCTGTCATAATTTTTTTTCGTGTGTGGTGATGGGATCACACCCAGGGCCTCAAGCACGCAAGGCAAGTGCTGTACCACTAAGCTACATTCCCAACCCCATAATTGACTATGGTCTTCATAGCCAGTCAGTAACTTGCCTTTTACTTTTTTGGCTTCTTTACCTCTAATGATTTGATCTACACACATCCTAGACCTTGTCGTGCCCAGAAGGGTATCCCTTCCAGATTTGTCAGTTTCAAGACTCCCGTTCTTAGCCAGACATGATGCCATGTACTTCTAGTCTCCGCTACTTGGGAGGTTGAGGAAGGATAATGGCTTAAGGCCAGGAGTTGGAGGCCACGTGGACAACATAGTGAGACACAATCTCAAAACAAAAGCATTCTGAGCTACTTTCTCTTTATCTGTGCTTCTTCTGTTTCCCTAGCACAATTCCCCAGGACCCTCTATTCACTTGACTTGCTATTTATTCTCACCATCTGTTTTCAACCCTCCTGCACAGCTTGAGTTTTATGCTGTTATTATAGTCCTATGTTTGTCCATACTTTTAACTCTCTTCCTTCTTGACTTAAATATTAGAATCAGAAGAAAACTGCCATGTCCTCCCCTCCAAATCCACCAATGTGTCAGAACCTGAGCCCTCCTATTCTGCCTCTTGGGTACTAGATTCCATCTCCTGTCACATACTTAAGGATGTTTCTCTACTAGGTCAGTGGCACTGGCATGTGCACCTGCTACACTATATTGTATATTGAAGAAACCTGAGCCCTCTCCTGAGCATACCTTCAACTGCCATCCCCTTTCTCTGCATCCTTGTAATATATAAGAAAAACTTTAAAAAATAATTACCCTTATTTGCTATCTTTACTTCCTTTCTTCCCCAGCTCTGCTGTACCCACTTCTGTCGGGCCTCATCCACACCCCACTGAATCTGCTCATCCCGCTTAGCAGCACACGACACCATCGCTACTCCTTGAACCAATTTTCCCCCCACCTTTTTTTTTTTTTTTTTTTTTC